GAGGGGGTTGGAAGGTTCACTACTGAGGATATACTGATTTCAATATTAATTTATTTGAACATTTTTTTAATTTATAAGCAAAAAACTAATATATTTACTTTATTGATTTATCAAGAAATGGGTTTGCCAAATATCACAGAACAAGCTTAAATCAACGTTTAGATTATTTTTGTTTCACTAGATGGCGCTCTGTCATAAAAAAAAGCTCATGTCTGCTATCAGGATATATATATTTTATTATTTAATTTTCTATTATATGTTCTTATTCATTTTTCCATGTATTTTATGTCTACCTAAAGAAATATGTCACAACCTGCTTATCTAGGGTTTAATTTAACTTTCAAATCGATCTATTGGTGATATCAATTAAAATAATAAATATCCTTATATTTGTAGTTCATTATTTTTTCCAGAGGAAAATAAATTCAATATTTTGTTACCTAGTAAATATATAGTTGGCTTTATCATTTTATGTAAGCATGATAAATAATGGATTTGAATAATATAAATTGCATTATCATTTATAAGCTTATATTCCTTTGTTTCTCTCCTTACTTTACATTATGAAAATTCGAAAATATAATAGACGCATATGATCATTTTAAAAATTAAACATTATCTACTGCCCTTACTGCAATGAAAAAACTTTTCATAAATCATACGCATCAATTTTTCCAAGAATCATACGCGTCTATAATGGTTTCGAATTTTGATAACAGATGGCGCGCTATTGCATCACACTTTACATTATATTACACTTGCCCTTAATTTTAATCTCAAATATCTATATATGCTATAATTATTGTATTTTATAAAGGAAATTAAATTTCAATGTTGATTTGTTTCTTTGAAAGTATTGTCAAGTTGTTCAGCACGTTATGAGAAATTATATAAAATGAAATTGAAATATATACATGTTATATTTAATAATGATTTCTGCTGTTGACTTTGAATTATTATTTTCTAATATCATCAGGATTCCAGAGTATCATTATGATATTGTTTTGCAGTCGTGGGAATAATAAAATTGTTTTGATCAGATATAGCTTTAATTGAGCTAAAGGAATATATAAAAACATAAATTAAGAAAGGTATGCCTGACTTAAGGCGTAAGAATTAAAAAAAATGAAAAACTTATTTACATATGGTTTGTGCCGCCCATCGGGAAATAACAACAATGAGTTTTTTATAGGGGAAGCGTGACCTCTGGCGATCGATTTAGCAGAGGATTTAAATCTATGAAATATAATTTTAAATAAAATAACATTTTAAAATAACATACATATTAAAGACAAATATTTTCGTAGTATGTGTTCTTTTATTAACTACATAATTTGTCGATACTAAATATGATTTTCAAGGTGTCACACTTCAACAGACAAAAAATTTGAAATATTTATTAGAATTTTGAAAATAGAACAATCCATAAATTAATCCTTAATTAAAATGGCATATATTGGATCAAAATATCATTTATTTTACCAAATTGAGTTGGCTGAACGCTAACCTTTTTCAAGGTATTATAACATATTAATATGTTATATATATGTTATAATTTTTTTTTATCCAATATATGCCTTTTTAATTTAATATTAATATGTGTCAACAATAAACTCAGCGCTACAATTATTATAATGCATTTTATATTTCTAGAATTGCTTTAAAACCTCAATAAAAATGTTAAAGATAAAGTAATATTTTGTTAATAACTTAAATCTGTTTAATATATACAACCTTAAAGTATAATATATGAAGTATATTTATAAAATATTGAATGTTCTATACAATAATGTGTAATTTATATATCTAAATATAAACATATATTCAAGGATATTTTCATTATATATTCTCACATAGTTTGTTATAAGGATATTCTATCCAGAAATATGTTGGCCAAATCATATAGAATAAGCTTAAATTAACGATTAGTTTATTTTTATTTCATTAAATGGTCATCTGCCATCTAAATTTGCCCTTGTAAGCGAACAGGATATTTATTTTCAGCATTATATATCAAGTGTAGTTATAAAATATTGAATATTCGATAAAAGAATGATTTATAATATCTTAATATAAACAAATATTAATGCATATATTATTTATAAATTCTCACATATTGATAAGGCACAATTTGGATTATAGATTATAAACACAAGGTAATAAGACTAAATCTAAATAAATAAATAGTGTGTGACGTTTCGGTAACAGCGTCTTTACCATCTTGAGACAAAATTCAGTAGAGACTCAGTACTTTTGTGATTGTGGTGATATTTCTCATTCAGTACTTTTGGCTGAAGATGGTAATAACGCTGTTACCGAAACGTCACACACTATTTATTTATTTGGATTTGGTCTTATTACCTTGTGTTTAAATTCTCACATAGGTTGATATATAAGAAAATACATTTATAAATAAATATTATATATATCCTGGTACACCTTCATACAACTACAACTATAAGTAATAACAAAGAAATACCTCAATTTCGAACTGTAACGATAGGATAACTTATTTGAGATATTCCATACGTCTCTATTAGTGGTAGACCAATGTTTTAGCAGTCGAATATGAGAAAAAAAAGGAAAATATATAAATTTTAAGTATTGATATTGTAAGAAAAACGTGTTAGTGGTTGGCTTTTCTTGATTTATTGAAAATTGGTTGGCCAAATATTATAGAACAAGCTTAAATTAACGTTCAGTTTATTTTTCTTTCACTTGATGGCGCTCTGACATCTAAATTTGCTTTTGTTATAGCTATCAGGATGTTTATTTTTATTATAATATTTGAATTATATTAAGAAAAAGGTATCTCCTTATTGTGCAACTGAATGTTGCTGATGGCTTAAGCCATCTAACGGAATAAATATCAAATATGAGCCATCAGCATCTTTCAGTTTCACGATAAGGCGATGCCTTTTTCTTAATTTATGCACCTTATCCCAGTACAATATCACATTGGTACTATTATTTCATATCAAATATAGTTATAGAATATTGAATATTCGATTTAAGAATGATTAAAAAAATATAAATTTAAAGTTATATTCAAGGATATTTTCATTTTAAATTCTCACATAGTTTGATATAAGGAGGGCGCTCTGCAATCTAAATTTGCCCTTGTAAGCGATCAGGGTATTTTTTAACTATAATATAAGAAGTATAGTTATAGAATATTGAATATTCGATATAAGAATAATTTATAAAATCATATATATTCACGCATATATTCATTATGAATTCTTATAAAGTTTGAAATAAGGAAATCCATTTATCAAGAAATATATATATCCTGGTACACCTTCATACAACTACAACTAAAAGAAATAACAAAGAAATACCCCTCAATTTCGAACTGTTCCGATAGGATGATTTATTTGAGATATTCCATACGTCTCTATTAGTGGTAGCCAGATGTGTTAGCAGAAGATCAATCATCTTTCTTTGATGTTTTCTAAAATTTCGCCCAAGACCTCTACTAATCCCTACGGATTGTTCCCCGACTTGGAAAAAAAAAACTTTATTTTTTTCCGGATATGCGCTTTCAAAAATTCCCCCTATTTTATTCCTCTGATCAAATTTTAAGAAACAGAGAATAAATATTTTATTAAATTATTGTAAAGAAAGTTTTGGAATATAATCTTATAAGTTATTTAAGTTCTGTTTTCTCTATATTGGAATTCTAAAGAACAATTGTATAAAATAATATAATGGTTATTATTAAATTTTACTATTTAGATTTTATTTGTAAGATAAAATATTAAGGTGTATATTTTATTAGATTATATTTTCTCTGGATACATTAAGTAATAACATTTCTCGTAATGTATAGTCTAGAAATATATTTCGAATGTTTCAAATTTAGTTAATATTTAATAAAAGTTGCTATATATTATTATAATATAATAATTTAATATTCATATTTTGAATAGGTAAATTGCGAACCCTTTTTGAAATTGAATTGAAAATAACAGGAAATATAATTTTGTTAAATATTTCGTTAATATTAGTTTGAACTACCAAGGATTGTTTCATCATATAAAATTAATAATTCGATAAAGAGAGCCCTTATACAGATGTTTAAATGTATTTGCTTATTAGAGAGAGAGAGTACATAAAATAGGAAAATTAGTAAATCAATTGACCATTAATTAATGAGTTTAAAAAAAAGAAAAACTCCGCCCTTGCCGGTCCCAAGCCCGGATGAAAAGGGAGGAGGGGGAGCAGTAACAAGCTCACTAAAAAACCTAGGCTCAGCTGGCCTGGCTGATAGTACCCTGTTAGGGCTCCTGATCCAGGGATACAGGATGAGCAGCGTTTGTACTCCATGTTAGGAGCGGCTGCACATGGCGCCTGTTCCTCATGTCAGAGGCGGCCATTTATTTAGGAGCTAAGTCGGCCTGCAACTGAGTAGTGCTCTCAATCTTGACAAAGGCAGACGCATTCTACTTCACCCAGTATGGAGATAAAGAAGAAGAAAAAGCATTCTCAATACCATCAGCATTTGCTAGATAATTTTGAAATATAGATGAACCTAAGAAATATCTATCACTTTTATATCGATAGCATATTTGTTCATATAGGTTCCTATATATTTTTGTACTAATGGCCGGGAGAGCTTGGAGAAAACAAAATAAGTACCAATTGTAGAACCAAAATTGCAATTATACCGCAAATGTTTCTTTTGAACGAAAAATCGTATTTTAAGGAGAAATAGCGATTATTTATAACCTTAGGAATGAGGTATGATAGGATGAATTGTGAAGAGTAATGATAAACGGAAAAATAAAGTGTCCAGAAATGGGAATCAAAACAACAGTGTTCCACTTACCGGGAATCCCTAAGGTTAGAAATATTCGCTATTTCTACTCAAAATAAATTTCGATTTTTTTGTTCAAAAGAAACATTTGCGGTATAATTAAAATTACGTTCTACTATCATAAGCCGCAATATATTGTATTATAAATGACTTTATATAATATTTACTTACGGAAAAATATGTCCAGGCTAGCCTAGTGGACATGGCATCTGCCCGGTAAGCGGAACATTGTGGGTTCGATTCCCATCCAAAGACACTTTATTTTACCGTTAATAGTAATTTTGCTCTTCACAATTCATCCTATCATACTTCATCCCTAAGGTTAGAAATAATCGCTATATCTCCTCAAAATAAATTTCGATTTTTCGTTCAAAAGAAACATTTTGCGGTATAATTAACATTCTCGTTCTACAATCATAAGCCGCATTATATTGTGTTATAAATTACTCATATAATATTTACCAACGGAAAAATATGTCCAAGGTAGCCTAGTGGACATGGCATCTGCCCGTTAAGCGGAACACTGTGGGTTTAATTCCCATCCCTGGACACTTTATTTTTCTGTTTAACATTACTCTTCACAATTCATTCTATCATACTTCATTCTTAAGGTTAGAAGTAATCGCTATTTCTCCTCAAAATAAATTTAAATTTTTCGTTTAAAAGAAACATTTCCGGTCTAATTGCAATATTCTTTCTACAATCATAAGCCGCATTATAAAGTACCTATTATAAAGTACCTGTATTATAAAGTACCTATTAACTCAAATCCTTTGAGACTAACTAACGGAAAATAATAAAAACTAACTATGAATTTATCATGAATTAGTAATAAAACTGTGATAACCAAAAATTAAAAATGAAGTATACATAACTGGGGTTATTAAAAGAAGGAATACCTAAAAATCTAACAATTAAACATATGTAAATGGTCGTTAACCAAACAATTAAGTTTGAATATAATTTGTTGATTAAAAGTTGGTTTGGAAAACATAGAGCTACACATTCAACCAATACTTCTTTTAATTCTCGACGTTTAATGACTCACTGTCATACACTTTCTGGTTCTTTCTTCTCAGGTGAATGGAAATTTAAAATCCTATATTAGAAAATATTATTCGAAATAATAATTTGTTAAAAATTTAAAATTAAATGAATTTTTGATTGATGTAGCTATATTTTTTGCAAAGTTAGTTTGAATTGTGCATTAAAAACAAAATAATCCAGTACCTAAATCTCTCCCAAACATAATTTTCGAGTCGAAAGGTATTTTACCACGAGTATAATTTTACGCTATGAGTGACAACTGAATCCCAAAAACATTTACACTATCAACTAAACAGATGAAGATGATTTGAGCAAAATATATGTAATATTGTGACAAAGAAATATTTTATTATTTAATTTAATATTATTCAATGAAAATATATTCTACAGATTAAAAAAATATATATTAATCTGTATTTGTGAAATCATCTTTAAAATATTTCTTTGCTTGCTTGCTTAAAATTCTCTAGCTGTAAATATTTGGGCTGACTTGTTAATAATTGTCGACTGGTCGCTGTGACGTCATCAATAAATGCTTTTACATCTTAGGATATTTCAAGGCTTGATTTCTACGCCACAACTGGTGGAGAGACTGGACCGATACCCATTAAGAAATAAAAGAAAAATTGATTCGGTTGAACCAGAAGAAACTTCTATGAATGTAAAGAAGGAAGGTACTCAGGTAAGCAACTACGTTGTTCAACATTTGCCAAGGAACCCTTCCATTTTCTCCGGGGAGGATGGTGAAGATCTCCAAAAATGGTTAAAAGGGTATGCACGTGTGGCAAGGTACAACCATTGGGACGAAACCCTTTGTCTTACTAAAGTTTATTTTTATCTGTCTGGAACTGCTCTCAAATGGTTTGAGAACAACGAAGAAAGCATCCAGACTTGGAAGGAATTCACATCTCAATTAGAGAATGTGTTCGGAAAAAAGGAAAATTCAAAATTGCAAGCGGAGAAGAAACTTAAAACACGAGCACAATTAAAAGGTGAAAGTACCGAATTTTACATCCAGGATGTCCTGTGCTTGTGCAAAGAGGTTGATCCTCAAATGAGCGTAGAAGATAAAATCTCCCACCTCATGAAGGGGATAGCTGAGGAGCTTTATCAAGCACTCCTACCGAGGGATGTACAGAGCACCGAGCAATTCATTACAGAATGTCGCCGTGTCGAAGCGCTCCGTTGTAGGCGAGTTACCCCAATCAGGTACGAGCGCCTACCAAATGTAGCCTCTCTCTGTGACCAGGATGACGGAGAAGATCTGTCATCGCTGATCCGAAAATTTGTCCGCGAAGAGATACAGCAAGCATTGGACTCTCCTCAAGAGGAGCCTAAAATCGCTGCCAATGAATATTTAGTAAGGGAAGAGATCGTAAAGACCTTGGCGTCTATATCAGAACCTACAATAAGTCCCCCTCAAGCACCCAGTCCGGTATCAAATCCTAAATTTGAGGCTCAACCTAGAAATCCCCATCCTACATCTCAATATCAGAAACAAGGAAGAAGACGCGACACCAATGAATGGCGGACAACTGAGGGAAGGCCAATCTGTTTCTACTGCGGACGCCCAGGTCACGTCGTCCGCTATTGCCGTGACAGGAAGAGACACAATGAGGAAAGGAGAAAATAATATTTCCAAAGAAAGAAAGACGCAATGGTATTCTACAACTTTCGAGCCGAATCTCAGGACCCCAATGACGAATCATCGAGGAAAAATTTCACTCGCTACCGAAGCCCTACCTCATATCCCAGTCGAAACAGACAACATTTCTCACCTGCTAGAAGATCCAGCTGGACGCCCCGCCATTAAAACTAGATGATAGACCATATGGGAGGTAAGGCCGCAAATTTATAAAATCCTTCCTTTCCGACCACAGTGGAAATAAAAAACTACATTGACGTAAACATAGACCTACCAAGCCCTCATGAAGAAGATATCTCAACTGAAAGAAGACATCCACCGCAGTCACCTGAAAATATCCCTGGCCATAGTACTAGTTCTTAAGACTGACGACGTAAGTCTCCTGCTGAGCATCGGGTCGATGCTCTCTATAGGAGGAGGCTATGTGACAAAGAAATATTTTATTATTTAATTTAATATTATTCAATGAAAATATATTCTACAGATTATGAAAATATATATTAATCTGTATTTGTGAAATCATATTTAAAATATTTCTTTGCTTGCTTGCTTAAGATTCTCTAGCTGTAAATAATTGGGCTGACTTGTTAATAATTGTCGACTGGTCGCTGTGACGTCATCAATAAATACTTTTACATCTTAGGATATTTCAAGGCTTGATTTCTACGCTACAATATTGTTGCAAATGTGATCCTGCCGACGTAGGGATAAACTGGCAGTCGTGTACGTGAGGCGAGTATTGATGTTCTTCCCACACGCGGACAACAAGAAGCAGAGGCAGGGCTAGATGTTAGCACCGAGAGTGATCGGGGATAGCCCACGGGACAGAGGTAGAGGCCATGACACAAACTTGGATTCCTATCACCGAGACATGGAGAGAGACCGAGAGAGACAGAAGCAGTCTGCCGATCGACACACTCTAGAACCATCTGCTGCTGACCCCCTGCTCAAACCTGTCCTGTTTACAGGGGTCGTCTATATAAATCCCTGGAGGGAGGGGGTCCCCTCCCCTCATCTTGGCTGGGCGTTAGCTTTTTTTCTTCTTGTCCCCAACTGCCACCAGCTGACCGACCACTCTTTGGATCTTTATTTTAACGTCACCACTTTTAGTTGAAATACAAATAGGGGGTTTAAATACAAATAGTTTATATACAAAATATGGAATGGTCGTAAATAGAAACAGTGTACATTTCAATAAAAGGGTAGGATCTTATAAGGTATCGGCTCTAACTATTTGGAAGATATGTGACATATACTAAAAGTATCATTATTATACAGTTCAAAACATACGATATATAGGTTAAAAAATCATCAATATATATGAATATTTCAAAAGAATCATACGGGTGTATAATATTTTCGAAATTTCATAATAGATGGAGCGCTAATACATCATAATATATGTAAATGTGTTAAAATAATGAATTTTATAATATAGTATAATTATAGTAATATCATATAATATAGTTACCTGTACAAAGAGACACATTTATGGAGAACTATTATATTTTCTCCAAATATTTAAGGTAAGTTTGTATTTGTTTAACACGAACTGATTTAATTCTAGAGAAATAACATTTACTTTTTAATTTTTAAATGAAAATATGAAACTCCTTTATCTGCCATTATCTCTTATTGAAATAAATAATAAATTTTGAATATGATACTTCTCTAAATATCAATAAAGAGAGGTTAGGCGTAACTTGGATCTATACGCACCTAATTATATTCCAATATATTGGTAAAACAGTACAGTCGATTCAATAGCGGCAGGTCTGTTGGGGATATTGATGTACAGTAGCTTTGACTATAGAGACTAATTGTAAATATAATTATTATTATAAACTATTGAGGTAAAATTATATTATGAAATATGATATTGAAAACCAGTAAATAAATTCTATTGTATATATGCTTAGATATTGTGATAAAATAAATGGAATCTGTATATATTCACGAAATAAATACTCTTAATTGATGGTGTTTTGATCTTCTGCATAGCTCCAGGATTTCCAGATAGAGATTTGAATATTTACTCGTTGCTATATTTATGACCTATAGTTGCTACATTGAATTTTTTTATATTCTTTGGGATTCTTTGAGGAAATGGTCTAGTGATATAATACGAAAATTGCTTCTAAAAACAGCTTTAGGTTGTTTAATTTCATTCTTTCTAAGAAAAAATAACAGTCTTTGATTTCCAGACTTAAGTATAATCATCTTCGAATAACGACTTTCCAGAATGGTTGCAAAGTTTTCCCAATATGTACTAAGTTCAAATTTAAACCTGCAATCCCAAACTATATTATTGAATATATAATAAATTTAGAATATGCCTTGGTTTTTATTAATAACTGGTCTAGTAAATTATGACGAACATTTCTTCTAAGCTGCTTTAGGTTTTTTGTTCTTTCTATGAATAAATAACAGTCTTTGATTTCCAGAATCAAGTCGGGTCATTTACGGACAATGACTTTCCAGAATGGTTGCAAGGTTTTCCTAATATGAAATAAGTTCAAATTTAAACTTGCAAACTAAAAATAAATTATTGACTGTATTGGATA